AAACAACACAACACTTACTTACTTTTAGGAAACTCTTCGCGCGGCGGTGTTTCCTAATTTGAAGGAAACGTTTTCGTGCTTCAATGTAACAGGAGTTTTGGTTCAAGAAATCGCGTTTTCGTCGACCAAGGCAATACCGTTTTCTTCATTCAAGACTTCGTTTCTTGTCCACTTTTTTCAAGTATCCAATTTTCTTAGGTCAACACGGCGTCGCCTTGAATTTAGGAAACGTTTTTTTCAGTGTAGTCTCCTGATCGTAAAAAAGCTCCAAATCAAAGTTCAAGTTAGGTAAAAATGCGGATAATTTGTATGACCAACAAAGCAACTGGAAGCAAGATTTTTGCCGTTTTTTCCAGGTACCTACTCAGAGAGTTGGCAATTAATTTTTGAAAATGACACCCTCTACGGAAAAATTCAAACTTTGCGAAGTTCAACTTCATATCGAGGGAACAACAATACTGGGACTAATTTAATAATCCTACCGAATTTGTCTTATTCCGTAAACATTTTCATTAATATATATGTGGAGGGATCCCACCTCATTCCACCTTTCATTCGAGTCGGGTCGGGAGACGGTGCGGGAATTACCAGTTCGAAGCAGCACGCCTTCTTCACCCGCCCTCCTACAAGTACTCTTTCTCTAACATCCCACTGCTCGACTACTCTTCTTCTCTCTCCTTTTGGTTAGATCACGTGACCGCAATGCAAGGTGCTTCCTACGTACGACGTAGGGTAAGATGTGGTCAGTCCGCCAGGGTAGGTCACACCGCCAGTTGACCGTACCCTGCTAAAAATTTCCCATGGGAATGACATGTGATCACATGCGAGTCTCGTTTGTGCTGCGGTGAAGTGAGGCTTACAGTTTTCTCGTTCCTCGAGAATGAATAGTTTGTATGTGTTTAAATGGCCGAAGAATTGTGTTTTACTTTAATATAATGAAAAAATTAAACAAATGTCTTCGCAGGATATCTCCTCAAGATTTTAACTATTGTAAAAACATGATATTAGTGTTTAAGGACGAGAAAAGAATGGAGTACGTAAGGGATAAAAATAGTGGTAATAATACAATTAATAGAGGACTGCCAATCAATTCTGAGAAGGAAACCCTAAAACAAGAATTAGAGGAACATGAGGGAATAGAAGTAAAAAAATTCACCAACTCCAGGACAGAATCACGAAAGTTCCAATCCCTCTTTTTAAAATAAACGTTAAAAGCAATAATACCTCTTAGAAAAAAGTAGAAGAGATAAAGATAATTGACGAATACGGAATTAGAATTATTATTATTTTATATTATTATTATTTTCTTATTAGTATCATCTAATTACGTCTCCTTCTTTTGTTCTGTAGAAAGGTTAGGGTTAGGTTTTCTATTATTAGGGTTTATATATAGTTTCTCAAACAGTGTATAGGGGATGTAATCTCTTTCTGTTAAATCCCTTATTTACTCCATTCTTTTCTCGTCCTTAAACACTAATATCATGTTTTTACAATAGTTAAAATCTTGAGGAGATATCCTGCGAAGACATTTGTTTAATTTTTTCATTATATTAAAGTAAAACACAATTCTTCGGCCATTTAAACACATACAAACTATTCATTCTCGAGGAACGAGAAAACTGTAAGCCTCACTTCACCGCAGCACAAACGAGACTCGCATGTAATCACATGTCATTCCCATGGGAAATTTTTAGCAGGGTACGGTCAACTGGCGGTGTGGCCTACCCTGGCGGACTGACCACATCTTACCCTACGTCGTACGTAGGAAGCACCTTGCATTGCGGTCACGTGATCTAACCAAAAGGAGAGAGAAGAAGAGTAGTCGAGCAGTGGGATGTTAGAGAAAGAGTACTTGTAGTAGGGCGGGTGAAGAAGGCGTGCTGCTTCGAACTGGTAATTCCATGAATCCTGTGAATATTTTGCGGATTTTACGATTATCCTGAGGTCGTCCTGACAATATTCTGTGGACATTTTAAGCATTTTTTCAAATACTTATCCCTAGAATTTCCACATAATATTTTGGGAATTTTCAAGAAAGTTCTGGGGATATCGATTTGTCTCACGAAAATGCTCTGAGAATGCTGCGACAATATTCTAGAATATTCTCACAACATTGTCAAAATATTTTAAATTTTCCTCGAAATATTATCAGAACGTTTACAGAATATTAGCCTGCTAACTGGGAGTGATGCCTTGATTCGTTCATAAACTCCGTGCTCTCGAAGGTAAATACAGCGTGTTTGAGCATTGGATGACCAATAAAGCAGCAATACAGAAACTCTTGACAAGAAGTACCTAACTTTAAATCCGAAATAAATTTTTTTAACTGCTGAAAGATGCACAGTGAACTTTTCAGAGAAATCGTAGTAAATTGATGACGAATAGGACAAGATTGAAAACTCATTAGAAGTCTTTCAACAAATTAAGAAAAGCTGTAATGCCATATAAAACACTTAAACATAAAACATCTATATTTACATTCTAACAATAAATTATGAAAGTAATCTTATAGTAGTAAAATGTAGCTGGTGAAATATCGAGCCACTAAAAAAGTTTCTCAGAATGCACTTTGGTTGAACTATAGCTTTAATACACTATAGCAGATTTTTGGTAATTAAAATCCTCAGTAAAAAGGGAAAGTATTGAAATAATACTTTTTTGAATAATTACGAACGTGGGAAAAATATGAAAAGCACCTTCTCTCAAGTAAATAACAACTAATGAAACATCTTAAATATCATTTCAAAACACTCAAGAAAAAGTTGCAAATTTCAATTACCTTTGAGGCAATACTTCTCACAAATACCAAGGGGTGCCTCCCAATGGCTACAACAAAGGTTTTTGTTTTTGTTCTTTTAATTTTTTTAATGTAAGTGCCAAACTTCTTGAAATACAAATGTACTAGTAAAAGGGAACTTTGATCACCTTCCTGATAACATTAGATGAACTCTTTTACTGTGTGATAAATTTACTGGCAGTTAAAACAGTGGCAGTTTATTGTTAAAAATAAATAAAAATATACATAAGTATTTATATAAATCTCACTGATAACAAATAAATTAATAAAATAACCAAGTCGTATGGTTGTAATATAATTTTTCTAATCATGGTAAAAGTATATAAAAATAATAGTGTAGAAAAAACTATTATAAATTTTACTACGATACTGCAAATTCCATGTAGTCCTATGATTTAAGTTGTTTTAACATTAATCTTTCAATCGAGATTTTCGTTGAGTTAGTAATCAATAAGTATAGAGGTTATGAGAATTGGAGAATGAGATGAGGAGTGAGTTACAGAGTAATTGCTGCTGTTCTGCCAATGTATGGTAGTAATAAACAATTAATAGTTGTAAAATTATTAATTAAAGCGCAAGAGATGAGAATCGTCTGGAAAGTATTTTTCATATCTTTCTTGCTCTAGGATGACAGAAGAGAAGTAATTTTGAATTTACCGCTAGAATGCTTATACCTCCAGCTTTTAATCGTTACGAGTATATGGATATCTATTTGACAAACTGATTCTCCAAGATTTGCATTGTTTTGTGAACAACTCTAAAAATCATCAGGTACAGAAGTTCTTTGGAAGTTGAATTCTCCTATTCGTTTCTTCGGTGACTACTGATATCATTAACAGGGGAATTGTAGCGGTTGGAAGGGCAAATTCTTCTGAAGTGATTATATTTTTAGACTTCGAAATCTAGTTCCTTTTTGGGCATTTTTTTTTTTTTTTTTTTTTTTTAACCGTGAAAAGATTAAATTTGAAAGAAATCAGAGTCAACATTGAGGGGGATCCAAAAGTTTCGCATCTTTCCTGTAACTTTTGAAGATACAGTGATAAAAAGTTTCAATTTTGGGATTGAACAAAGGTTCAAAGTAACTTTGAGATCTTTCAACATTTTGAGAATGAGCAAAGGTTCAAAGAAACTACCTTTAAGACCTCTCAAAATTTTGAGACGTTCATACGTACTCCGGGGGCCACGAATCCCTACTTTTTTTTATCCAAATGGGATCCCTCCTTTTGTGCTACATCATTAAAAGCAGCAAGCAGAGTGCGGAATTTCGTTCCAAATCACAGTCTCAATATATTATAACCGGCCATCCTAGTTTTTGGAAAGTTGAACTTTATCGGGCTACCATTTCGGATTGGTGAAAATGAACAACCTCTGGGTCACGCTATAAAGGTTTTTTTAGTCTTCTCCCAATGAGGGAGGTCGTTGAAAATGAAAATTTAATTCAGGGGGGCTGCTAAAATGTCAAAAGGATTTTTTTCCAGACCTTCATTGGGAGTTACATGAATCATAGGGAAGGGAATAAAAAAATAAATAATTTTAGCGAAACCATAAGGGTAGCTTACTATCATGAATCGAGAACGGTGGCTCGAAAAAATTTCAATTTGCAAAATTTTTGTCGGCCGACCAAGATAGACAGAGAGTTTCGATGGCTAACTAGTTCATGAGCGAATTTTGACTTTCGAATACATCTTGTTACAAGCAAATGACGCTTAGAACACAATGCGCGCACTAAAAATGTGATAAATTAACTCAAAGACTAAGAATTACGCAGATCAAAGGGCGCAACTTTTCTGCAAATTTAAAATGCCTCGGTTCCACGCCGAACGGAATAATGTCATCTGTCATCAATTTAGAGTTAGTACGGGTCCCATCGACTTCCGTTCAATGGGGTAGTGCGGGATTCCTAGAACGACCTGCAGAATTATGGCCCATTCAAAAGCATTAAGGTTGTCTCTCTAAAGATGCTACTGCAATAGAGGTGGGTTTAGACTGTAATTTTAACTGAAAAATCCAATTAAACCGTGACAAGTCTGGCAGAAAATTCTCACTCCGACACAAGTTTAAGAAAATGTGAAGAAATGAATGTTTTGAAATAAAAAAAAATAAAAAATAAAATAATAATTATAATAAAAAGTTCCGCCCAACAACTTCTCGGAAAAAAATGATTTCAAAAAAGGTTTACAAAAATACATTTTCAAAGTTGTGGTTTTTGAATGGCTAAGTTTAAGAATGGTGATAATAAAAGAGACAAAAAAGTCAGAGCGCAATTTCTTTTGTCAAAAAAAAAAAAAAAAAAAGAATACAACGAATTTCATCTAGGATAAGAAGTAATGTGCCTGCAGCGGAGTTCTTGACGAAATCTTACGAATAAATTTTGTTAGAATGGCACGCGAGGGGAATAGGATTGAAATACAAGAGGGCTTTTTGCAAGTTGTGATATGATATTAAAAGATGGCACTGAAGTCACAGGTTGAAGTTGTTCGTTTAAATATTTACATAATAAATCTAAATCACTGTTTAGGTACATATATGACAAAAATTGCAGTTTAAATAAACTACTAGAATAGTGCAGAAATTTGAAAACAATTTCATGTATGTTGACAATTTTGAGAGAGGAAATAATAATTAATGAAGCTAAGTAATCATCATAAAAATACTTAAGAGGTATTATTTACAAAACAAAGGTACAAATGGTAAAACATGAAAACATACTTAGAATGACCTCTCCTTGAGTAAGCAATAGTCAGCATAGGATGAGAAATCGCTGCGAAAATACAAATACAGATGTGATCTGACCATGACTTGAACCCATATGTAAATGCACATATTACCATAAAATTTCACGTGTTCGAGAGAAATCTGGGGGATACTTAATTTAAGAAGCCCCGTTTTGTGTTAATGCATCAAAATAGAAGACGCGCCTGACACATTTCAAGTAAAAATTCAGCATCATGCTAATGATAAAATTATCGTCAGGTGTTATAAAAAGGTCTTCGATGACCATCACGATTGTGTCGCCGGATTGTTCTACAGCCCGTTGCCGTTTTCTTTGCTCGGAAATTTGTTTTTTATTACACGTGAATTCCAAGCGAGGAAACAAGGACGGACCATATCACAATCCGGCAACTCAATCGTGATGATAATTGAAGATCTTATTGTGCCTCTCAAGATGATGGTATTTTATTCTTAAGTACTTACTGAAGATAAAAGTAACTTTGACTCACTGAGGTTATGTCCTCCTTATACAGACTTGGCAACGGCCGATTCTCGTCCTCAATTCTCCACTCTTCAAAGTTTGTTGTGAGGGTCTAACGAACTGTTCACTGGGTTCTATCGTTGCCAACCAGAAACTGAGTTTGTTGGCGAAGTAGTAACACGTTCCTCGCTCACCATTGCACTCAATGAAAGGAGTGGCTCGGAAGTCTTCCAGACAAGATCCTGGACTAGCTAGTGATTGGCCGCCTCCTTCAGCACCAGCAGCTGTGTGCTGTGAAAAAATGAAATAATTTTGTACATTTTGAAAATTTTTGGATATCCTTGAAGAAACAGCTACAATATCTGCCTCTTATACATTTAAAAATATTCCCGAAAAATAGTTTTATCTAACGATCTCAAGGAATTCATGATGCGGCATTGCATACCGCATAATAGATCCCAAGTAGCACCGATTGCAAAAAATTGCAATTAGGCGGTAAAATTATTGCTACTGCATCGGCGTGTTGTGGATGTTGCCTATTTGAAGGATATTGCCGGATCGAAGGAAAATTTTTATTGACATTTATTGCAATAAAATTGAAATAAATTTCAATTTTTCATTGCATTACATATTGCCTGACTTTTTGACACATGGAACTCACTTTGTTGATCGTGTAAAATTGAATTTGATTGACCAAATAGTACAAAACCGTTTCCATTAAAAAAAATGCAATTTTATTGAAATAAATCGCAATTTTATATTAATATTTTCGTTGCTCTGCGCTATCTGGGATTAAAAACTTGTCTCTTTTTTTGCTTAGGAAACTTTTTTTTGCAGTGCTTGATTAGGTGGATTTCTACACGTTTGAATGTATCATGAAAAAGACAGCTTTAATTGGCGAGCCTAGAGCGAAATTTAAAATTGAAACTTTAGAAATAGACCCTCGCACGGAAATGTAGTGGTTTGCCATCTACAAATACGAAATGCACAGGAAAATTATGTCTCCTCATAACAATTTTTTAAAGAAACCCGGCTAAAAATGGTTAGCCGGTCTACTGATTATTTGGCAACATAATTCAGCAGAATTTCTACTCACATCAGACTGACTTCAGACTATTGGTATTGAAAAGGTATCTACTAATGTCACTAATTTTAGTAGAGACATTTTACTCACATTAGTATTATTTAATTATTCTCTCTTTTTAATATACTGGTTTTGATGAAGAGGTATCTTCGTATGTTGTATAATTGAAAGAAATTACTTTTTATATCTAAAATTGTTATGATGCGGCATTTAATTTCTAAGTTACCGGATATCACCAATCAATATCTGACCTAATAACAGTTGAATTTCTAAATATGTCAGCTGAATATTCTCTTCATCCGAATGGGCTAAAACTGGGAAGGGTTTCAGTAATTGATGTCAACAATGGACTCGCATCAGCTCAGATTCGACTGATACAACTTGTGATATCACTTAAGTCCCCATTGATATCAACAGAATTTTTTACATGCTCCTACTTATCAACTCTCGCAAAGTTCTAGGTACGCTCAGAAATTTAAATTACGTATAAAACGCAAACTATATGTCAGTATCAAATTTGAGTCATGACATTAAATGAAAATTTTTGTTAGAATGATATATGATCGTTACGAAATGACTGTGGGCAGAAAATAGCCTGAAATAAGTATGGGGTCTATCTTACTCAGTGCTTGTGTTGCACCGTGTTCATTTTTTTAGCAGAAAAAATCTAGACACTTCTAGCATCAACTTTCCCTCAAAATTTTTCTTGGCCCGCAAACACGGACCAGCACTTACAAATACAGAAATCAAACTTTTTTGAAAAACTATAATAAACTAACGGCTGGAGAATATATCCAATATGTCTGATGGAAATTAGCAAGATGTAAAAGTAAGTAAGTAAGTAAGTAAGGGAAAGAACGTGAACGTACCATAACGAAGCTGAAACCAATCCATAAACTGTCCCATCCAGCAGGACAATTAGGAATGGATAAAGCTTGACTATGAACTGCGATTACATTGGCAGGAGCTTCACAAACAACGCACCTGAAGATAGGCAGAAGGAACGTAATATATTCATACATGTATAAGCCCACACACAAAAAATATAACAGCTATTACCAACCACTACCCATCATCAACAAATTAAGTGATAAGATTATAATTAACGATTAAGTGATTAAGATTATATAATCTTTTTTTGAACATTATTTTTTGCGACGTAATTTTTGATGCTTAAATATCTAATTTTTTGGCTTCAGTTACAGCTTCTAATTGCTTTCTTACAGCTACTTAAATTGTCTGTGCTGTGAATTTTTTAGTTGTTCATGATCTTGTACAATAGAGATCGGATATTGCGACATTGCTTAAAACGACAAATCGGTTATAACGACTTACGCTCTACACAGGCTCTAGAAGAAGGTCGTTGCATACGATTTCCACTGTATATTCATATTCATACTTTACTTTGGTGCTCAAGCAATTCATATCTAAACTATTCGTTTCTTCTTTTTAAATTTTCTCTTTATTCATCTTGTAAAAGTCTTTAAATTTGGAATATGTAGTAGGTATAAATGTTTTTCTTACACAATTGAGTACCCAAAGACAATGGTTACAATCTGCATGAGATCACCTAAGACTCATCTTTTGGAGGACATTTATTATACCTATGGCACCAGAACCGCCCATTTTAAAATCTGAGGAGGAGAATCGGAAGGATGTGTCCCATCTCTTTTCAAGATGGTTTACAATTCGCATCCACGACCGAGAAGGCCAGGGCGAATGATTAACGATCTTAGTTATGGCGATCGGCGATCATCTAGCCCGGGCTGACAAGTATCGAATGCAGTTTCATTGGCACTCAATTTTTCGGAATATCATCAACACTTTGCTCTCCACAGAATATCTATTCGGTAATATTACAATGATAGGAATAGCCGTTTCGCCGGTTGCTCTCAGCAACTTCTGTGCTGATTTTGTCGGTGACATAATTTTTGTGACAGATCCAGCATCTATTCTCTGTCACACTTCCCTTTGTTAGCCACTAAACACGGACCAACACAACCACGAAAAATTTTTGAGTGTGCGAAGCTGTAATTAAAAAGGAAGTAGATAAAAGAGAATATAATTGTTTTCAGCTCACCGAGAGATGTATTTTTGAATAGCAATTTCCTCTACGGGTGTCATTGGCATAGGTTCATTTGTACTTAACCAATAAGATTTATCATTGCGACTAGCATAGTTACATACATTATTGAAATCACAGAATAAGAAAGGCATGGTAGAGAATTTACGAACACATGATCCAGCAAAACCTGAAAACATAAAACAAAATTCACATCACTTAAAAGACAGTGCGCAATCTTGAGTGGTCAATGAAGGCAAAGTTCGGATGGCAATTTGAGTTAATACTCGAGTAATTATAGACGTAAGATATTTGGGTACGGAATTTCATATAGGTACCTAATTTGATCTCTCCATTTCCGTAGGCATATTATCATTTTTTGTTAAACTTCATTCTAGAAATTGGGTTGATTTTCCTGATTACTGCAGTTAATGGCGGGTAAGAGAATCTGTATGAGCACGCTATCTTGAAATTTTCGAAATAAAATCTGATATCATAATTAATATTACGTGATGGAATTGTGAAATTTCCCATTAGAACAATGTAAATTTTCAATTTGTTGCCAAACTTCACTTTAAAGAGATACCTCCAGGGATAATGTCCATGATTTTTGAAGCTACTGGCAAGAAGTCCTGCCTTTTGAATAAACCCAGGTTGAAGTTTTTGAAACATGACCGAGAAAGTGGTTCCCTGAAGGTGCAAAATGTCCTCTGTGGCATGGGCCGTGTTGCGGCCAGGGAGTGTATCTCCTGTTTTAAAGACAGAGTGTTCAAGAAACCAGACCGACCCACTCTAACGTTTTTCTTATTTCATATTTTAAAATGAAAAATAAGAGCACTCATATGTCGATGTAAGATATATTTTAGGCCTCTTACAAGGAGAGACTGAGAACAGTGTAGGTACTTCCAATCACATTTACGTTTTTTTTTATCTATCACAGTGTAAAGTAAGGAAAGGATTTGAAACTGGGAATGAGACAAACAATAATGAATTGGAAATAAGAAAGTACATAAAAGATTCGAAGTGGAAAACAAGAATGAAAAGTAGGAGCTGAGAATTCTATTTAAACATGATTTGAAAGCGATCAGTAATACCTAAATCTTGATTATGGGACTTTTCGTTCCCTTCAATATATAGAAGAGAGTAACCATCCCATAGTTTGGTGTGTCCTGGCTCACAGCCTGGTACAACAGTGCTTTGAGAATGTTTGACTAGTAATATACCAGTCTCATAATTCTCATCTTGTGCACAAGGAGCACCATCAACACCCCTTGGTCCTGGAGGACCAGGTTGTCCCTGTAATTGAAAAAAATATATTTTAATTGGAGCAAATACGAAAACTCAAACAAGTGTAATCGAAAATTCCAGACAGAAGAGATACGTAAACGAAACCAAGTAGCTCATCATGTCCGTCTATGGTTGTATCTATCTTTCGACTTCTGTGATAAATAACTACCTATGTAAATGATCAACGGATAAATTTTCAAATGCATGTTATCTTTATCAAAAATGAAGCCGATATAGACGTACATCCGTAATCCATGAGCCACAAATAAGTTAAGCAGAGGAAAATATGGTTATTCTTAAGCATTCATAAATTAGAAAAAAGAATCAATGTAACACAAGTGAGTGCCTGATCATAAAAGGCTCTTACTGGCGCGAGTAGATAAATGTTAAAATACCGAACAAATTGATGGACCTTCACCAAAGTTATTTCCTTACATGAAAGCGCCTGACGGATTGTTCAATTATTTGCCATGAGTTCTGACATCAGACGAAAAAGTAGTTATTGATTTTTCTATAAATCTCTTTGGGACGCAGGCTAGGCCCATTAAGTTTGTATGAAATACGGATGAAAAAAATTACCTGCAATCCAGGCAAACCATCTCTGCCAGGGTCTCCTTTAGGACCAGGTGGTCCACTTGGACCTGGTAGACCTTCAGTACCGGGCAAACCTCGAATACCCTTTGCACCAGGCAAGCCAGGGATTCCATTGCTTCCAGGAACTCCAGGTAATCCGGGTGGGCCGGGATAACCTGTGATGAGTGGATAAGAAATTAAGGTTTGCGAGTATATTAAAAAAATCATGCACGTGCCAATTGTGCCATAGCGCTTTATGTAAGTATGTATGTATGTATGGTTGGTTTGTAGATACGTTTATTTGGTGTTTTTTAACAATTGAGTCATTAACACCTTAGAGGTGAGATCAAAATATATTACAGAATTTAAAAATTTAGAAAGTAGGAGTCACAAAAAGGTAGTAACATTAAATTTGGAGATTAATTCGTTTGAAAAAGAGAGGGATTTCATGAAAATACTTTGAAAGGATGGTATGGAGATCAGAAAGTGGAGGGAAAATTTTAGATCTTAATTGTTGATATGTAGGGCAAATTATTAAAACATGTCTAACTGAGAGAGGGATATTACAAGAGATGCAGGTTGGGGGTTGGACTTTCTTGATTATGTACTGGTGGGTGAAAGACGCGTGCTCAATGCACAGCCTGGTTATTTTCACTTGATCTGCTCGTGGTAGACCAGAAAGTTGAGGGAATATGGACATTGGAGGATTTTTAAGTTGGCAATACACTGTCCACTCTTGTTGCCAATTTGTAAAGATTCCTCTTTTGATGAACTTGTTGAGGTCCTCGGCTGTGACAGTCAGGGGAGGAAGGGGCCAGCAGATGAAGCGGCTTCTTTCGCCAGAGTATCAGCTTCCGTGTTCCCAGCAACACCTTGGTACATGTCCCGGGCACCAGCACAGAGCAATTGAGAAATTCAGGGAGGGAAGGTGATGTAGGGAATTTTGGATTTGGATAATGAGTGGATTGGAACCAGGGACAGTTTGGAGAGCAGACAGAACATTCAGTGAGTCTGAGCATAAAATGGCTTTTTTACCTTTTGTCTCTTGAAGAAAATTTAATGCTTGGAGTATAGCAAAGGCTTCGGCACTAAAAATTGAGGCAATAGGAGACAGCTTGAAGGATCTGGACTCATTTTGTGTGATAAAAGCACACCCTGTTTGGCTGTTCTCAAGCTCGGAGCCGCCAGTGTAGATTTGTTCATAATCTTGATAATTTTCCATTGTCGAGAAAAAGTTACTTCGTAATTCGGCATGGGAGGTGTCGGACTTGTGTGAAGAGCAGGAGTTGAGGTGAATTTCAATTTCAGGAGGGATCCAAGGGGGGAAATTGAGATTCGCAGCTTGAATATGTATAGATCTGTGATCGGAGATATCGGAGGGAAGAGCAGTCCATAAGTATGTGTTTGATGGTCAGAGGTGATGAATTGCAGAAGTGGCAGATGGGTTGGTTTTCTTTGGATATGATATGACTGTGAGTGAAAAAAGTGTGACCTATCCTGAGACGCGTAATTTGGACTTCACATGATCTTGTTTTGTGGTTTGGTGTTCTTGGATATGGCATGGGGGCTCTACGGAGACGATTCTGTTCACTTGTGCTCCATTCTTGTTCCCACGATTTTGTGATAAGTTCGCACATAGCTTTTTTAGCATCTTGCTGAGTGAATGGATGGTGAGTGATGTTCAGCATAGAGCATGCTTCAGTGGCTGCTCTGTCCGCTGTTTCGTTTCGTTTCCCAGAATTCCTATATTAGCCGGCACCCAGATAAAAGAGGTGGAGTGGCCATTGGCCAATAAGGCATGAACAGTATCATGGATTAACATTGAAAAAGGATGATTAGTAGGGTTGTATTTCAAAGTGCGGAGTGAAGAAAGAGAGTCAGATCATATGACGTAATCGATAGTATCATTGTTACGGGAACTAAGTTCTTGTACATATCTAATTGCTTCGAGAATAGCCAGCATCTCAGCTGTGAAAAAAGAATTTAACGGAGATAATTTTTGTTTTAGGATAAAATCATTTGATGTATCTACGAATGCTAATGCTACTGATGTTTCTTGTTTCGAACCATCTGTGAAAGGAGGAGTAACGTTTTGGGCCTTTTCCGGCCCCACCTGGATTTTGCTAAATGTTTCATATTTTCAAAGTACTAGTCTTAGGTAGACTCTGTGCCAAATATTAGACCGAACGGAGCCCATGCAAGGGCGCAGCAGCGCCTCAAACCCAAAATCCTGGAATCGAAAAACAATTATTTTCGTCGACTTTTTCGACTGTTATCACTCTTCCAGCATATGATTCTTAAGTATTTTTTTGCGTACTTTTCGTTTCTGGCCTTTTTAAAGGCCTCCGATAAATTTTAAGGGGCCTTATGGCCCATTGTTGCCATTTTTGGCCCATTTTTAGGGTTTTTTTCCATTTAACACATTCAAAACTCAATTTAATCCAAAAACTGTGTACATTTTTGAAAAGTACGTAAAGAATCGAATAAAAAATGTTCAGTAAAATTTTTTCCTATGTTGCCAAATTTCCGAGAAAATTGGTCCCAAAGTGTCAAAAACGGCAAAAAATCGATAAATCGCCGCGTCTAAGGATCAAGAAAGTGGAGTACATCTTTCATACTGTACCAGATAACAGCTCTTATCCATCCATACAACATATTAAAATATCATAGTTGTACCTGGATTCCCACGATGTGAAAATTGACCGAGATGTCGATTTTAGCGGCCTTTTTATACTTGAAGGCAGCTCTTTTGAATGTTTCTCGACCTTAGTCACCCTCTATGGGTGTGTACTATATGTATTTTTCTACGTACTTTTCATATCTGGCCATAAAAATGGCTTCCTGTGAATTTTAGAAGGCCTAACGGTCCATTGTTGCCAATTTTCACCAATTTTTAGGGGTTTTTTCAAGTTTACGTGTGTGAAACTTAATTTAATCTAGAAACCGTATACAATTTCGGAAAGAACGTAAAAAAATACATACAAATGTGATGTGTACCTTTTCCCTACGTTGCCGAATTTTCGAGAAAAATCGTCCTGAAGCGCCAAAAATGCCAAAAATTGGATTAATCATCACGTCGGAGGTTCCAGGAAGTGAATTTCAAGTTTTCTTTCACTACAAATAACTTATCGAAAATGGAAAATTGCAATGCATCTCGAGGAACATGTAATGGCGCAGATGAACGTGACAAAACGAGCCCTCAAGGTGCTTTTAGTTTATCCTTCACTCCAAGTCACCTCTTTATTCCTGTAACCTCGAGATAATCCTTGGTTCTCAAGATGCTTGCTACGGGCCAAATATATCGAACAACAGAAAATGCGTGGAGAAAGTGTCCCATGAATGTCATAATTCACTTCCTGGAACCTCCGACGTGATGATTAATCCAATTTTTGGCATTTTTGGCGCTTCAGGACGATTTTTCTCGAAAATTCGGCAACGTAGGGAAAAGGTACACATCACATTTGTATGTATTTTTTTACGTTCTTTCCGAAATTGTATACGGTTTCTAGATTAAATTAAGTTTCACACACGTAAACTTGAAAAAACCCCTAAAAATTGGTGAAAATTGGCAACAATGGACCGTTAGGCCTTCTAAAATTCACAGGAAGCCATTTTTATGGCCAGATATGAAAAGTACGTAGAAAAATACATATAGTACACACCCATAGAGGGTGACTAAGGTCGAGAAACATTCAAAAGAGCTGCCTTCAAGTATAAAAAGGCCGCTAAAATCGACATCTCGGTCAATTTTCACATCGTGGGAATCCAGGTACAACTATGATATTTTAATATGTTGTATGGATGGATAAGAGCTGTTATCTGGTACAGTATGAAAGATGTACTCCACTTTCTTGATCCTTAGACGCGGCGATTTATCGATTTTTTGCCGTTTTTGACACTTTGGGACCAATTTTCTCGGAAATTTGGCAACATAGGAAAAAATTTTACTGAACATTTTTTATTCGATTCTTTACGTACTTTTCAAAAATGTACACAGTTTTTGGATTAAATTGAGTTTTGAATGTGTTAAATGGAAAAAAACCCTAAAAATGGGCCAAAAATGGCAACAATGGGCCATAAGGCCCCTTAAAATTTATCGGAGGCCTTTAAAAAGGCCAGAAACGAAAAGTACGCAAAAAAATACTTAAGAATCATATGCTGGAAGAGTGATAACAGTCGAAAAAGTCGACGAAAATAATTGTTTTTCGATTCCAGGATTTTGGGTTTGAGGCGCTGCTGCGCCCTTGCATGGGCTCCGTTCGGTCTAATATTTGGCACAGAGTCTACCTAAGACTAGTACTTTGAAAATATGAAACATTTAGCAAAATCCAGGTGGGGCCGGAAAAGGCCCAAAACGTTACTCCTCCTTTCACAGATGGTTCGAAACAAGAAACATCAGTAGCATTAGCATTCGTAGATACATCAAATGATTTTATCCTAAAACAAAAATTATCTCCGTTAAATTCTTTTTTCACAGCTGAGATGCTGGCTATTCTCGAAGCAATTAGATATGTACAAGAACTTAGTTCCCGTAACAATGATACTATCGATTACGTCATATGATCTGACTCTCTTTCTTCACTCCGCACTTTGAAATACAACCCTACTAATCATCCTTTTTCAATGTTAATCCATGATACTGTTCATGCCTTATTGGCCAATGGCCACTCCACCTCTTTTATCTGGGTGCCGGCTAATATAGGAATTCTGGGAAACGAAACGAAACAGCGGACAGAGCAGCCACTGAAGCATGCTCTATGCTGAACATCACTCACCATCCATTCACTCAGCAAGATGCTAAAAAAGCTATGTGCGAACTTATCACAAAATCGTGGGAACAAGAATGGAGCACAAGTGAACAGAATCGTCTCCGTAGAGCCCCCATGCCATATCCAAGAACACCAAACCACAAAACAAGATCATGTGAAGTCCAAATTACGCGTCTCAGGATAGGTCACACTTTTTTCACTCACAGTCATATCATATCCAAAGAAAACCAACCCATCTGCCACTTCTGCAATTCATCACCTCTGACCATCAAACACATACTTATGGACTGCTCTTCCCTCCGATATCTCCGATCACAGATCTATACATATTCAAGCTGCGAATCTCAATTTCCGAAAAGGCCCAAAACGTTACTCCTCCTTTGTTTGTAGTCAAAGATGTTTTGACATAAAAGTTGGTTTAGTCGTTCCTTGTAAAATGTATGTGATGTGTTTCCTTTCTGATAGGCAGCTAGGTCCAAATTGACAGTATCGATATTGTACATCCACGGGGGGCATGAAAGGGTTTCATTTGGAGAAAGTTGTAGTTGTTCGAGGCTGTATTTTGTTTTCAATTTATCAATCAGCTGCTTAGTGACATAAGAGATAGGTTTAACAGTGTCTGTCACTTCAATAGCATCACATATCATATCGATGGTGAAAGAGCAGAAGTGCGTATCTAGATTTTTGACAGTTTTGAGTTAGCTGCATAAACGTGTGGTTGAAGATGTCGTCTGCCAGCAAGAGATTATAATCGAAAAAAATCGGGAAGTTACCTAAACCCGTAGAACTTTTTTCGCGTATCTCGGGCCTAAGTGCAGGAATGCGTATCTCGTTCAGGTCATGTTCATTTTTCGGCGGGCCTTACGCACAACCAATCACAACGCGCGCTCCTCAGCAGCGTTTCCCGCCAACACCGCACATCAGCTGATCAGCTGTTTTGTGTTTGTTTTCAATTGTTTTCATTTATCTATCTAAAAGAAAAGTTGATGCGGATAAATGTGGATAATCAGGCAGTCCAGCATGCATAATATCAGTGAATGCTGGTGATATAGGCCGATAAACGAGGGAAGGGGGGATTAGGTACTGTTACTTGTCATTAATGTTGCATACGCTTGTAATTGAAGGCAGATTATCACTCGAGGGCCCTCCAGTATCATTTCTTCATAGGTATCTACTACCTACTATCAGCGCGCGGCGTTCATGTCCATTTTTACTCTCTGGGCCAATGCAATCATGAACTAATTGAACTGACGGTTCATCACAACGGTCAGTCAGACGGTCATCAACGGTTATTAGAGTCAATCCGGTCAAACAATGCTTCATTTAGTGTATTGGATCGACTAAAGCTTCTAAATAAGTTTTAAGGTTGAATAAATTCTATTTTTGATCTTAATGATCAAGAGTAGCTTCAAAACGCTAATTGCAGAAATGCGTATCTCGTAATCTAATGTCAGTTTCCAATCATACAATGCTTGATCCGGCCTTATGAGGTCAAACCAAAGCTTCTGATAAAGAATTGTAAGCATGAAACCCTTTTTTCAGATTTTAAATGATCAAAATCCGCCAACAATAGGTTTTTTTTTTTGAGTTTTGTGGCTTCTATTCCTTTGTATTATTTTGATAAAATCAACAATAGGTTTAAAACACTAATTCGTCACCTTCCAGGCAAAGTATCACAAGCGCCATGCGACGTTTAAAAATTTCCGCCGCCATTATATTTTTTTACAGAGAAATTGTTCAACGAGGCTGTCCGAAAATTACACCGAATTTTCTTTGTGCTGCCGATAAAATTTAGTGAAATTTTCGAACAGATTCAACCAACAATTTCTCAGTAAAAAAATAAAATGGCGGCGGAAATTTTTAAACGTCGCATGGCGCTTGTGATACTTTGCCTGGAAGGTGACGAATTGCAGAAATGCGTATCTCGTGATAAAGTGTCAATTCTTAGTGCCGAAAATGCGAATCTCGGAATTTCGGCCGTATTTTCTAACAGCGCGAGAAATTATTCAAAATATTGATGAAGTCTGAAAACGCATCTTATTCTTGATATCCTCAAGAATTATTACCCTTCTACTGACAATAAGGAGGAATGTAGACAGTTTTTTTACTCTCCTAAAAAATCGTGTTTTCCGAGATACGCACTTCTGCACTTTCACCATCGATATGTGGATAGGTAGGATGATTTGAAGATGTCATGACTTTAGTGAGATAGCCGCTTAGTAGGATCCGCCTTCTCCATAGAAGGGGCGGTTCCACTGCTTCAGCATACAAACAAATAGAAGGACTAGTTCGGAAAGCACCAAGCACGATACGTAAAGATGATGAGTGGATGACATCTAATGCCCGTAGATAAGTTTTTGCTGCAGATTGATAAACGAAGGATCCGTAGTCAATTTTAGATCTTACTAGCCGTTCTGGACACGCTTTGCGCGTCCGTCACGGCCAGCCAAGGGGCTGCGCCCCCTGGACCTCCGATCACTCGCTACGCAAGTGACATTCCGCGAGCGATTTTTCTCAGTGATTGGACATTTGATCACTAAGATGTATACATTTTGGAGACTCTTGAGGCAAAAATGATTTCGTCACAGAACCTTGTCGCCGGAGCGTGCCATCATTTGCACATGAATAGATGTGTGGAGATGAAGCGATGATGGGGATCGATCAATTTTTTAAAAACGCATTTGACTGGGACGTCATCCCATCGGGTGGCGGATAAAAAGACAATCCATGGATCTCCTTCCGCGATTTGACTTGCTGAAGTAGGAAAAGTTCATCTTCACCTCTTAAGAAGATTATCGGTGGCGTAGGGGTCCAAACACTGCTCAACGAAAGCTTAGTTCGAGTTCCGAATCGCCGTGAGCCCACTTGTGTTTTTTTCTTATACTTTCATCGCATATAAATTTCTCTGATGTTTTTGTTTTAATCTCTCTGATTGCATATTAGTAATCATATCCTCATTTCATGTCCTTTCCTTTCCTTTTTCCCTCTCTGTAGCATCTGTGTCCATTTACAATTATTATTTTTAAATAGCTTTCCCCAAGTATACAATTGATGCTTCAAACGGAATCAATTGTTTTAATGACATTTCTGGCTAAATCATGGGTTTTCCCAGGAAGGCAGCCTCTCGTCCCTCCCGGACTCTATTATTGCCAGATAAGTTGCTTTTTTAGCATTTTTCTCAATTCAAATCTATGTAAAATATTCACATTTATCGCACAATCTGGCAACCTCTCGAGTGAAATAGAAAAAGGTAGAATCGCTGAAAGTCTGAATCCTTCGAAGTTTATATTATTGATGATGATTAAACTTCTGTATAATGTGAGTAAAGTTTCTCTGTCACATCCCCATTGAGTATTTGCAAGATATTTAAGTATGTTCATTGCTTTTTTGCATTTGGCAACAAGATTTTCAATATGTTTAGCCCATGTTAGTTTTCGATCAAAAATAAGTCCTAAATATACAACAGATGCTTTAAGGGGTATCTTTTCTCCCATTAGAAAAATGGTTGGGGTGGATGGGTTATTTATTTTACGACTAAAAATCATTCCAATGGTCTTTTGTACAGAAAACCGGAAACCAGTTTGATTGGACCAACTTTGAAGTCTACTTACAGTTATTCTGAGTAGTTTTTTTGCTATTTTGATATTTTTAGATGAAATATAGATGCAAAAATCGTCCATAAAAAGGGAGGATTGTACAGATTTCGGATTGTATTCTAGTATTGAATTGATAGCGATTGCAAAAAGTGTACATCTTAGAACACTACCCTGGGGAATCCCATTCCAATGTACAAAAACCTCCGAAAAGCAGGTTCCCAATCTCACACGGCATATTCTTCGCTGTAAAAATTCACTAATCATAAGTGGAAGATGACCGCAAAAGCCCCATTTATGGAGCATCTAATGTTGTATCTCCATGTAGGGTCATATGCCTTTTCTAAATCAAAGAAAATGGCATATGTATCCAATTTTTTAAGAAATCCATTTTGAATAGTTGATTAAATTTTCAGTAGATGATCAATTGTTGATCTTCTTTTTCTTCCCCCCGATTGAATGTTATTCCAACACTCTTTTTCATCGAGGGTCCATGTCAATCTTCTATTGACCATGCGCTCTTATAATTTACATAAGGTAGAGGTAAGAGAGTGCATGTATGTATGTATGTATGTATGTATGTATGTATTTATGTATGGTTGGTTGGTCGGTAAATACGTTCATCTGGCGCTTTTAACATCTGAGCCATTAACACCTCAGAGGGGAGATTAAAATTTCAAAGCTGTAATTTGTGCATTTTTCACAGTTTTCACATATTTTTTCCATCTATTGTATTAGTTTAGGAGATATTGAATATAGGTAAACTTATTTTCCAGACAATTCTCGAAATTATAAAATGGCACCCTGTGGCACAAGTTATTGTCATTATTTCTTTACATTTTCAGGGCCAGTAATAGCTCATAATAACGTAACCACTAAAAAACATGATGTCTTAGGTAAAATTACCTCTATCGCCTTTTTCTCCTTGAGGTCCAGGCGGTGGAATTAGACCTGGTTCTCCTTTGTCTCCTTTGGATCCGGCAAATCCAGGTAGACCCGGAGTTCCTGGCACTCCTGCAAGTCCTTTATCTCCTACTGGGCCATCTAAGCCTGGGAGACCTGGTGTTCCAGGGAATCCACGATCTCCCTTAGTACCTGGTGGCCCGGGAAAACCAGGCTGACCTTCAAACAAATTTTGAAAAAAGAAACAGCTATAACAAAAATGAGCAATAGTAATGATTACCTGATTTATTGTAAATAATTGAAAAAGCACACAAGGTATCCTTTTCATAATATTTATGGTTCTTCGGCAATATGACGGATACGTAAGGAGATTACCTCATGGAAAAGCACAAGAAAGGTCAGTATTTTACTAAATTATATTTAGAACAAATAATTTCTCCCAAAATAAAGGAGTTAGATTTCAAACGCTACATTATTTTTCACGGAGATCATGTTTTGCTTTCCACGTCCAGCAAAGAATTTGTTTTTTTTCACGTGGACCAATTTTCGGTTGCCGTAATTTTCGTGGTTGGAGTTTTGACAAGAGAGAGTTATTCGGGCATTTAATTAGGCAATTCAACGTTCCACTAGCTCTTTTTCCTCGTGGGTTTCTACATTCTTCAATGATGAGACTGATTAGCCAATGATTGATAATATTCTTTGTTTGATCACTTCCGTGAATATACATTTTTCTTTCTGCAGGCCTGTTTCAAGGGCACTTGAAGCGCGTACTCTTGAAGGGCGCAAACCAATGGGCTTGAAAAAATCTCCATGTTTCTTTTGTTTATTTAATTTTTATAAATTGCGTGTTATACTGATATTATTCAACACATTGAAGGTACGTAGTTATCCTGAACCATGCAACTTCTTTTTTTAAAGTAAAATTCTGACATGGAGTCCTGATGGAAAAGTTCGTTATGATACGTAATTGGTTTGTACATACAGGGGTACTCGTCTCCCTGCTGTCCTCCTCCGTACTCATTGAGTAGGACTGCACACTAAATTGGATTTTTGAGCGGGAGAAAATTCACTCTCGTGATGGTTGTGCCTATTAACATAAGTTCCTTTTCACAGGATTTTTTTCCACAATAAGGACGCATTTTCATCTGATATTTGGTCTTAGGTACTTATCTGATTGGTAAACTCAATCTCAAACATATTTTAAATGATTCAAAGGCATAACGAATACATACCAGGTGGTCCGATATCTCCTTTTTCTCCTGGTGCTCCATAAGGTGCTGGAAGACCTGGCTCTCCTTTTTGTCCGACCGGCCCCTGTAGTCCATCAAGTCCAGGTATTCCTGGTTGACCATCCGAACCATCCTTACCCGGTAAACCAGGAGGTCCTGGTTCACCAGTATCTCCAGGTAACCCTCGTAGACCTGGCAGGCCTTGCAGTCCAGGCATGCCTGGAAGACCTGGGAAACCAGGGTCACCTGAAAGTAATACAAATAAATATAATTAATTGTACCTACGTCTCATAACGTATATGTAATTATGTCTCATATATTTGAATAATCAAGGAATGAAGTTAACTCTGATTTAAAATCAGATGTCGCCAAAACCACCTGATAAGATAGTTCATGGCGAATTTTAATCAGTAAACTCTGCAACGACATTAATCAAAAGACCCTCTATTCATGCAGTGATAAAAGGGAGTGCAGGATTTGGATTATTTCTCAACGTTTGAAACATGATTTATTGAACTTAATTATAGGTACGTAGGTATTGAGGAAAAAAACAACAACAAAGGACCTCGCACGCTCCTTTTGAGAATATGTGCCCTGTTCGATTTCCAATTTTTTATTTCCGTTGAACTTGTCCATTGACGCTGATCAAAAGTCATTAGGTATTGCGCCAACTTTTGACGAGGCATCGTTTTCACACAATCCACCGTTGGATTTTTTATATTTTCTTGAGCAGGTGAAGGCCCCGCAGCGATCAAGAGTTGAGAAGATCTTTGTATTTTGAACATGATTGTGAAAATAGCGATACAAATAAATATTTTATTGAGATAATACATATTACATTTACTACACAATACCGTGGCTGTATTATCTAAATAAAATAAAATAAAATATCTCTGTATCTTTTTACTACCGGCTGCAAACAAGGGAAAAACAAGAAACCCTCAGCCTGTTTAGGTACCACTACAATGCAAAGCGGTATTCTTATCTCGGATTCCGCAAGCCTTTTTTTTCACGGTTCAAATCAGTTCCTTTCCTCTTTTTCTCACTCTTTTCCTTACCTATCACCGGCTGGAGTTTTCCTTTTTAAATTGCGGCGCTGCCATCTTCTATTCAAGGAAATGTAGAAACTCCAACGGCAGATTTTCCGGTAACAATGTCTGATAGAAAGTTTGCGCAATGATGACTTTTGATCAGCATCCACAGACGAGTTTATAAAGCAATTAAAAAAATGAAAATCGAATAGTGCACACATTCCCATAAGGAGTGTGCGGAGTCCTTTGGACAATGAGTGTGTGCTAAATTTCAACGCGATGTATAAGGCCAAAAATATGCACCCAATCAATTATTTATATCAATGCCTATGTTTTCCAAATAATTAACTTTTCTCACCAGTTAATTATTTATTGCCTTATCGGCCTCTTCGAAGGCAAACTTCCGATGGAATTATTTCTAGATTAAACAAAATTGATGTTTCCAGGATCTTCAGACGCCTACGGTCCCTTTTTTTTATTGAATATGTACTTACTCAGAGGTCCTCCAGATTTTAAAGTTTTTCCTAACTTTCCCATAGGTACTCGTGTTTTCCCCATTTTTTAAGAAAATTCCTGGACGTCTGAATAAGCAAACAAGTAGTCAAACAAATATCCCTAAGAATGACTGGGTTCTCAAGACAGAAATGCCTGAACCAAAAATATGTCAATATGGCAACTATGTACGCCTAGCCGCCCAGGCTCTGTGGAAGCGGCCCCTCAATATATATCGTAATGGCGTCCTCATAGTTTCTCGTTCTTCTCTTTCTGATCTCACAATAGGAGTTCAACCACATATTATCATGGTGTCAGGTGTGAACATCTTTGTCCAAAGTTTTTTTAACCATGTTTTAGTCTAATCGACATATCTTTTCTTCTCTCGCGGTCGCGATCCGGGTCAATCGCGTCGTGTCATCGTGTGTGGCCTAAAGGTCCTCGTGTAGTCGTGTTCAGTCATAGAATGTAGGTCTATTAAATCCATTTTAATCGTTTTATCCTTTGACTTTATAATCCGTACTGTCTGATTCCTACGAAGCAAAATTTTGTCCTATGATTCTGTACCGGCATCCTTTATCATATATCCTATAGTCATCAGTCCTTTGTCATTAACCTAAGTCCTAACCAAATGTCCAGATTCCAACCATCTTAAAAATGGATTTACGTCGTCTCGTTTTCGTTCGTCTTATTTCATCGTTTGTAACGTGACACACAAGCCAAATTTGGTGTTTTAAGTTAATCGTCAGCCTCAAATGTATCGTCAAGTGTCTCGATTTATCGACTCCAGTTCTGCGTCTCTTCTATCACCGTCATGAAGGCAAGTTAATCTACTTGTCAAACCATGTCAATCCGTCTTGTCTGTCCAGTCAAAGTCACAGTCTAGTATCAGTCTGCTAGTCTCCGTCATGTCGCTGCGTCCAATCTAAGTCTGTCGAGTCCAAGTCCGTCACGTCAAGTCTATGGTCTAGTCCAGGTCCGTCACGTCAAGTCTATTGTCATGTGTCTAAATCTGTCACGTCAAGTCTATGGTCACGTCTAGTCCAAGTCCGTCACGTCAAGTCTATGTCCGTCTGTCAAGTAAGTCCGTCACGTCAAGTCTATGGTCTGTCAAGTCTAAGGTCATATCAACTTTAAGTCCGTTATGTCATGTCTAAATCCGTCAGATCAAGTCTAACTATCACGTCAAGTCTAAATCAGAATCAGTCACATCAAACTGATTGTGTCCAGTCTTAGTCACGCCAAGTCTCTCTGTCAGTTCAATCGTCACGCTGTCAGGTCAGTCAATGTAGACCTAACTACTCCTCAAAATTGTCTGTTAATCTTCAATATTGTCTAAGCTCAAAAATTTAACATCAAATCGTCAACATGTCTCAAGACGACAACACCAATCCTGCCTCAACGTCAACCTCTGAACTTATCAACTACAGAGCCAGTTTTGATGTTGCCTCATGTCCTCCAATGGTTTTTAAGGGAGATCTCTCCGCCAAATGGAAGACATGGAAAATCGATTTTGACTTGCTTATGCTCTCAGCGAACCTCACCCAGGAAGGCGACCCCAGAAGAAATGCACTTCGTTAGATGCATGGGTAAGCCAGCGCTAAACATTTTCAAATCCTTTGATGTTGATGTTAATACGGTCAAACATACCGAACTTGCAGCCAAATTTGACGCTCATTTCTCACCTAAGGTCAATGTTACTGTTGAACGTCTAACCCTTTTCAGCAGGAAACAGAAACCAAATGAGTCGCTTGAAGATTTTTTAACGTCTCTAAGAAATCTCAGCATCAATTGCCAATTCGGCAACTTAAAAGGTTCGATCACCAAAGATGTGTTTATTGGTAATCTCAACATCGAAAATCAGAACATCAAAGAAGAACTTATCAAATCTGAAGAGTCGTCACTTGATAAGATCTTCGCCCTTGCTCAGAAACTTCAACTAGCTACGGAACGATCTGAAATTCTCAATAAACAAGTCAATGCTCTCGACCACTCACAACATCATCAACCCTCTAGAAGCCGATATCGTCGCCGATCATCATCATCATCACGTGATCGCTCACCATCACATTATCATCGTAGAAATTCTCCCAGTGATCGCTACTCGCCTAGACGTCATCAACGCAGCAAACACGGCAGCCCGTATCCTTATCGATCACCTCAACGAACATCTCATCGTCGCAGCAGCAGCCCATACGCATCGAGAAAAAGCTCATCACCTCATCAATCTCCATCTCGTGAATATTCTAAATGTGGCAACTCATATCATCGATTTAAGTGCCCAGCCATAGATGTAAAGTGTCGACGATGTAATCGTATTGGTCATTCCCAAAAAATGTGCATTGCTAGAGTTAATAGCATTCGATCATCTTCGCGTGAATGTGATAGTGATAATAATGATTCAGATATCCTCTATGTTGGACAAGTGAGTAATGCTCTTAAAGCAAAGAAAGGGGTCATTAATATTTCTATCAATGGGCAACAAGTCCAAGCCAGAGTCGATGCAGGTGTGGAAACTAATTTAATCTCTAAGAAATTATTTAACGAGTTAAACTTAAAAAACCGTGCGCTCTTACCACCACGAGTCCGAATCAACACCTTCACCAATCAACCAATGAATATCGTTGGTGAAACTAGATTAAATTTTGTGTTCAATGATATAAATTTTAATGACATTTTTCACGTAACGGAATTTTCATGTACACCCATCATTGTCCTTGCTCTTGCAGAGCAGCTAGGTTTAGTTAATATTGTCGATACAATCAATGAATCAACTTGTGATTCAACTCTCAAAGAATTTAAAAAAGGTTTTGATACCAAGAACAGCATTGGCTGTATTGGTAACAAAGAATTCATCTCCTCGAATTGTGAAAGGTTTAAAGTAAAATGTAACATTAGTCATGTATTAAAACCTACCCAAGTAGCATGGATTGCAATTTCATTGCAATGGATTGTGAGTTGATTGCAATTTTTGCTTGTTGCCTATACGTTCATTTGAAGGCGCTTAAAAAGTTGCAATTTTATTGCAATAAGTTTGCAAGAAATGTAGATTATGCTCGTTGCCTAACCTTCTTTTTCAAGGCACTATAAAGACTGCAATTTCGGTGCAATCATGTTGTAACAAATTCACGCCATGTGCCTGGCATCCAATTCTCTAGTTGTTTTAAAGTTTTTTCGACTTAAATGTCTCACCTAACCCATATAGCCCAACATATTTTGAAAATATTGTCACTTTTATCAAAATATTTTCATGGCAATATTGTAATTAAGATATTTTCAAAATATTTTTAAAACATTTTAAAGGAATATTTTGAAAATGTTTACAAAAAATATTTTTAAAATAATTCAAAAATATTGCCTGTAAACATGCATGTTAAAAATATTCCTTAAGAAAGTTTTGAAAATATTTTAAAAATATTTTTTGAAAATATTTTTAAGTTCTCAAGTTAGTATGTGGTGTAATTTACACCGGTGTAAATTTAGTGTGAGTACCTATTACGTGATATCGAAAAAAAAAAATCAGACAAAAAAAATATGAAAAAAATAAGTAACACGAAAAAAAATAAATAACAGGCAAAAGAAAGAAGCCTGAGAAAAACGGCGTTAATCAAATCTATGATGAATGTTGAGCCACGCACTGACGCAATGCATGCGATAACAGCCTTAACAGGCGTGATTTCAACCCAGCTCATCATCAGCTCCCTGTAGCTCAGTGGAAGAGTGCTCCGCTATGACATTCGCGGGTCGGGTTCAAGCCCACTCAAGGGCGTCCGGTATCTTATGCTGCTAAACGTCGTAGGACATTAGGTAAGCATGGGTTCGAATTATTATAATTTCCCCGGAAAATTTAGGGGTTGAAATTTAAAGGTCGTCAATATTGAAATTTCTTTGCAAAAAAAAAATTGCAACTTTTTTACAATGAGGGGGTCAGATGTTGTAAAATAATTGCAATTTTCTTGCAAGAAAGTTGAAATCATCTGGAAATTTTATTTCATTTAAATTGCAATTTTTTCGTTGCAAAATCCTACTTGGGTAGTTGTCAATCAGAGAGTTCTGTAGGCAAACCTAAGCTAAGTCGTAGTTCGAAACGAAGGCAAGCTCTTAAATTAAGCAAAGAAAACGATAACACTCAAAATTTCCCAATAAGTAGTGTTAATCAGCCGAATTCAATTTACAATGTTGATCAATCCGAATCAAAATTTAATATTAGTCAACCAACACTAGAAAATGAAAGTGATTCATCCATTTCTAAATCCAAGTTGAATGATGCAAATACCAATTATTTAAGTGAAATTAATGCGCAATCGTCAACAATGATTGAAAATAACCAGGATTTATCAACAATATTTGATAATTCATTTAGTTGTGATAATCTCGAAAATCCATCGTCAACAAATTTCGAAAATTCTATTAGATCATGTAAAATATCATTATCACTTGATGACTTGCTGTCTCATTCATTAACTGATTCTAATCAACATGATACAGGAAATAAACCCACTGAAATTATGCTTGAGAAAATTGTCAGCCAAAATTTGCCAGAAGCTAATCATGGTAAATTTAACTCAGGAAACAGTCCTATCAAATCATCAATAAAAAACCAAAAAGAACAATCCTGGCCAGTATATCATAGTTGCTCGAAAACTGACTCATCAAGTCCAAATTGGCGTATCCGAAAAACAACTGTCAATCAATTTAAAGTATTTCCTTGTGAAAATTGTGGGCAAGAATATCATAAAATTAGATGTCCTGCCTTTAGCATTATCTGTTACAATTGTAATCAACCTAATCATTTTTCAGCATTTTGTAAAGTAAAATATTTCAAGCAGGTTATACACAAATCAACTAATGTAAAGCATACTGATTTATTCTCTCCTCACAATATCAAGCACTTAAATCATAGAATCAATTACAGAGATTATATCGGGTCAAAATTCAAACATAAAATCCACAAATATTCCAACGAACCGCCCTGTTACGTATCCGCAGCGACCAAAGACCCTAATCCAAGGAACGTTTTTAATCAAATTCATGTCAGAAGCTTAATCAAAGAAACGGTAAAACAGGTCTTAAATTCAATTATTGCCTGTTAACTTAATAATCACTATTGTGTTCTTTTATCTTCATGCATACTGCCATGAGCCAGTTTATCAAGTTTCAAATCCAAAATCCAAATGTTTATCTTTTTGCAATTTTAACATTCATGCCATGTAGCAAAGACAAGAAACTCAGTCTTATTTCTAAAAAAAAAAAAAAAAAGGAACATGTCAATATGGCAACTATGTACGCCTAGCCGCCCAGGCTCTGTGGAAGCGGCCCCCTCAATATATATCGTCATGGCGTCCTCATAGTTTCTCGTTCTTCTCTTCCTGATCTCACAATAGGAGTTCAACCACATATTATCAAAATAGAAAAAAAAAAACCAAACCTTTTTCTCCTGGAATTCCGGATATTCCTTCGCGTCCATGTTTTCCAATTAGGCCGGGGAGACCTTTCTCACCTTTGACTGTCAAACCAGGCAAACCAGGAGACCCAGGTGGACCATTTTCACCTAAAGTAATATAAATTCAAGAATGAAAATCTTATCACCTACCTAATCTCTCGACGTGGCGCAAGCATTCGATCGTGTCTGGCACGAGCGCCTTGTCGGTAAACTATATAAAATGCTCCCGTATAATCATGTGGAACTCCTGGCCTCTTTCCTCACTGGCAGGCAGTTCCGAGTACGCTACGAAAATACCACCTCAAGTTTTAGGCCGATAGGAGCAGGAGTTCCACAGGGTTCCTGTCTTTCTCCTCTTTTCTACGCTCTCTTCACTACAGACATCCCACAGTGTGGGAGAGGGGGAAAGTTGGGTGTTTATGCCGATGACACTCTCGTGATGGCTTCGTCCAGGAGCTACAGGGAGGCACGTCATATAGCTCAAACTCATTTAAACAAAATTCATAAATGGACGAAAAAGGACAAAACAAAATTGAACGCTACTAAGTCGGTGGAAGTAGTTTTCACAAACCAACCTTTTACTCATCTCCCCTTATTTTTAGGAGAGGACAGAATCCCGCAAGACACAGTCGCTCGTTATTTATGCCTCCACCTGGATTCCAGGCTCAGATGGGGTGTCCACTAGGGTGTCCCTTATTTTTGAAATTTGAGAAAAGTTAAGCTCCCCAGGTCTCAAAACGTGCTTTGAGGTGTACAAATAAGGAATGTTTTTTGGAAAAAATTTTAAAAAAAATCTTAGGACTCTCTCAAGCGCCCTAAAGGGCGTCAGTCGAAAATGTTCATTTCCGGTAGAGTGGATAGTCAATCCTAGGTCGAATTTATGCAAAAATTTAATAAGAAAGTTGAAAGTGAGCAAGATTTCAAGATTTCCTACAAGTATCGCCTCACTTCACAATCAATGTTCATAAAATATCCAAAAAAATTCTAGGTAATGACATCGAAAAATTTTGATAAGCTTTGACTTTTTTTAAACTACCAAATATTGCTATTGTTGCCAAGAATATGTTACTACGCAAGTTGGATGATGGTACGCTTAACTAATTTCATGCCGAAGACGTTTTTAAACATTGAACAATTTAGGTAGGTATATTAATTTTAAAGAGCCTTATCAGAATTTTAATTGTCCTCCCTCTGAAGAACAACATTGAGTCTCCGTCTTGTAATAACAGAGAATCAACAACTCGTGTTTAGCCTTTTATTTTCATTTATTTATTTATTAATTCATTTATTTATATTTTTATTTTTCTTTGTTTCCAGTTGAGCATGAGAAGTTAATATTACGAAACGCCCCGTTTCTTTTTTTCGTCTTTTTTTGCAGCCTCCCCATCGTTGCTTCCTGCACTACGTTTAGTTGTGTATGAGTACATGTTCCTCACTCACAACCCACGCGCGTCGCCGCGCGCGGCCGGCGGGCGCGCGATGCAAAACTTGTCTCGGTCAGCCGCGCGCGGCGCGCGGCTCGACTTCCCGCCCATTTAAGTCGGTTTTCCGGCTGAACGATCAAAGATACGACCAAACGGACCAAATTTTTGCCTTATAGGCGTTAATTCGTCAATTTCACCTAGGATTGACTATCCACTCTACCAGAATTAACATTTTCGACTGACGCCCTTTAGGGCGCTTGAGAGAGTCCTAAAATTTTTTTTAAAATTTTTTCCAAAAAATATTCCTTATTTGTACACCTCATAGCACGTTTTGAGACCTGGGGAGCTTAACTTTTCTCAAATTTCAAAAATAAGGGACACCCTAGTGTCCACATTAAAAAAAAGGTGGCCCAATTACGCCTCAAATTCTTAAACATGCAGTGGCTCGTGGGCCGCAAATCCAGGCTATCCCTTCACCTCAAATTGCTCCTCTACAAATCAATGTTGAGGCCGGTTTGGAGTTATGGTTGTCAGTTGTGGGGCTGTGCAGCCAGGTCAAATCTAGACAAGATAGAGATTATGCAAATGAAGATCTTACGGAGTATTGTTAAAGCACGATGGTATGAGAGGAACGCAGATATTCGCGCTGACCTCAACATTGATTCAGTGGAGGAGTACATTACGAAAATGTACACTGCATATGAGACGCGGCTGCACCGGCACCCCAACCCTGAAGCGCTAGCGCTCCTGCGGGCCGATTATTGAAATTTAAACCAGCCCGACAAGACATCAAATTGCGATATATTGCACGGTTAAGATAGGGCTGTGTCTTGTCGTAAGCGGCGACATAGAGTCGATGACATTTCAATAATCGCCCCGCTGGATCGGGACCGGTGTATCCGCAGGCTAAAGCGTCGTAAACCCCACGCGCTTGAAATTCAGGGGTTCTCCAAATTCTTCCCATAATTTAGCATACGTGCCTCCCCGCGCTCTTTGGACGTGATTGGGGGCTCCTTGGACCTCGGCCGTTTCCGGTCGTCCACACATCAAAGATTAACCAAAAACACATTTTTATTTTGGAATAATTTTGTTTTATTTTCCTCCTAGCTTTGTACAGGTAGTATTTTTCAGATTTAACGTGAAACCGTATTGTTAAGTTACCTTAGCAGATTAAGCAAGCTTTTCATAGACATTCTCTATGTCTAAAAGTGTCTCATTTGTACAGTTTTCTTTGTGCTAATAAATAATAAAAAAAAAAAAAAACCTACCTAATCTGAGAGTTGAGCCAGTCTAAGTCTCACCGATACACGATTATGATTATAAAGAAAAATGACGACTTACAAATGAACTTGCGCAAAACTAAAAAAACTGGAACCTTCACGTAGCTAAGGTACCTATATACATCGGAAATGCATGGCTGAAAATCTTTTACTTTTCAAAAAATAACTGGTTACGATTTCTAGCTCAGGGAATTTTCCTCGTGTCCCCCTTCCCGCATTTTAATTTCAATTACAATCAAATGATGGTTCCATTAACGCCATCCACCATCCTTTCCTCTCAATGACGTCATCCTCACCCCTCTCTGCTGTTTCAGACAACGGCATTAAATGCTGCTACTAAAGACGTAATCGTTTGATTATACAACGTCAGCATCTATTGCTTTGATACCATTAGGGGGCGTCCCTAAATTACGTAACGTGCTTAGGGGGGGGGGGATGCCAGTGTCACGCCGCCTTTGGAAGTTTTGAAGAATTTCGAAAATATTCTCTGAAATACTTTCACTTTTTCTCACTGAATAGATTTGCCGATCCGTTCAGTAAATGTCAGATAATACTTGTATCTTTATTTATCCAGGTCGTGGAGGGGGGGGGGTTCCGGGCAAGCGTTATGTAATTTTCTAGGGAGGTCTAGAATAGCGTTAAGGAGCTTTACAGGGGGGTAGGGGTGTCCAAAAACCCCCAAATTTAGCATTAAGTAATTTGGGGACGGCCCCCTATCACAGTTATTATTTGATAATTTCGTCATCGTAGGATTTTATTGATGTAATCATAGCCCATAAATTCTAAATACATCATTAATTATTAGTGAAAACGTCTTAAAACCGAGTAGAGTTTTGTAATAGGGGCATGCAATTTCTCGGGTGGGTTCTTGGTATAATCCGAGTTAGCATGCAACTTGGATATCATGCATTATAATTATTGTTATATCGTTTTCGTTTGTCCCCCCCC